GTGCCCTACTCCTTGAGCCATAAGTGCCACTCTATGCCAGTGATTTTTAACCAGTATGCCGCAGCACACTGGTTCCATGAGAGGATCTTAGGTGTCCTGGGAAGTTTTTTTAAGATCATTATTTTTGAAAGATGTTCAAAGCACAGTAAGTATATTCTGTTTTTACTTTTTTGGATCAATATAATTTTAGTGTGCCGAGGAAGTTTAACCATGCGTTTGAGAGTGCCGTGAGATAAAGGTTGAAAAACATTTTTCTATGCTTTCTGTGGCTGCTTTCAGAATGTGGTGATAGTTTAGTAATAGGGACTATGGTCCACAGAGCCTCAGATATTTACTATGTGGCCTTTTACAAAACTTTTGCCCCTAATTATGAAGAAAGATGTTTCTCATAATGGTGCTTATGTTCTATCCCAATAGTGAACAAAACAAAAGCAGACCCAGGAAAGTTCTTTGTTTTTTAGGTAGAGTTTCCTAGGTTGGTCTTAGAACTTCTGGCCTCAAAAATCTTGCCTCAGCCTCCTGTGTAGCTGGGCTGATAGGTACGAGTCATTGTACTCAATTCAGCCTGTTAAATTCGGATTGGGTTAGTGAAGTGTTTAAGCAGTAAGACTACAACTCGGGAGTCTGGCGGCATATTCCCCGGTTCAAGTTGTCAGAACAGAATGCCACTGGGTTCTGATAGCCTGGAGGTGCTGTGAGGGTTAGTCTCTTCTGAGGCTGCATCCTTGTCCTCCAGATACCTGACTTCTTACCCTACCCTTGTAAGGATGTTGGGGTCCCACCCTTACAGCCTCTCTTAATTTTTTTTTTTTTTGAGGGGAAGGAGATAGTCTTACTCTTGTTACCCTGGGTATAGAGCCATGGTGTTAAAGTTCACAGTAACCTCAAATTCTTGGGCTTAAGCAATCCTCTTGCCTCAGCCTCCCAAGTAGCTGGTACTATAGGCACCTGTCACAATGCCCATTTTTAGTAGACATGGGGGTTTTGTTCTTGTTCAGGCTGGTCTTGAACTCCTGAGCTCTGAGTAATCCACCTGCCTCCACCTTTCAGATTGCTAGATTACAGGTGTGAGCCACTGTGCCTGGCCTA